TTGATCCTCTTGGGACCATGAATGTCTATGTTTTTAGAAATCCATACGATACTTGAGCCATGGCTAAAAAAAACGCACAAGTTTTACCCTGCACCAAGTAAGACAAATAAACAGACGTCCCTGTTGATGAATAAAAGTGTGTCTTCATATGATTTTCAATGACTTTCCTGTGTATTCCACCTCCATATTTTGGGTAAGGTGACATTTCTGCTCTGCTGATAAAAAAAAGTCCTTTATCCACCTCTGTCCTTCAGACAGGCTTTAAAAGCAATATGTCACTTTCAGCATGCGGACACAGTAACTGAGTGATAGAGGAGGAAGGTAAATCCTGGAGCAGCCTTTATTCCACTGACCTCACCCTGACCTTCCACGGGTTAAGTCCTGTTTAGAGCCTTTGAGAAATCTGAGGAGCTGACAGAAAGGTCTCCAAGGCTCAGTGAGTGAAAACAAGTGCGCTATGGTCCATGTGGTGGTCTTTGAAGTGGTCATAAGACCTCTGTGTTTGTGCAAGAAATGAATGTGTGAGTGCTTCTATGTACTTGTCTTGTCCTCCAGATACAGAACATGCAAATAATCTACATATCGGTTGTTTTAAGTTGACCTGACAAGGTCACATTCAGATGACCTTTAATATCTGCCCTTCTTCTGCAGGGCTATGCTACTTTGAAAGGTCACGACCTCTTCAGGTTTTTTAGTATTCTGTACGGCAAGTGACAGCCGGAGGGTTTAAGTCACCGTGATGAACAGATGAGGTCAGGATTATCCCACTGAACATTCATTACTTAAGTGACCAAGTCAGCACATTTAACTACACAAAAAAAGGCAAATGAAGTAGCCTCCTAACTGTAGAACATTTATATCAATATTTATGAATGTGCACCATCTCTGATAAACAAAATATATAAATAAATTAAGAAGTATAAGAAACATGGGTAATATAAAAGAGTATGGGCACTCCAGTAATTTCATATGAAAGAATGGCCCAAATCAAAACCTCAGATACTGAGATATCTTTACTTTTACTTCGCAGTATTTGGGGCAAAATGCCAAAAAACTGGATCCTGCACTTCCCATAATGCAACTTGATAGCATCTTTTCATTAAAACCCCTCTTTGCCAGTAAACTCCCATGTATTTCTAATCCATATTCTAGCTGGCTTTTTATTAAAAGTTAATAAAAGTGATGTCACTTATGTCGTTAAAAAAAAAGTGTTTCAGAGCACCAGGAGAATTTTAGAGGCATACAAGGTCAACTGAAAGACGTAACAGGGCATTATAAGAACTCAGGCGAAGACGCTTTCCGCTTGAGTTGATCAATGTTTCAATTTAGGCAAAACAAATGTAACCCAGGGCTTTATGAATCTGCTTCATTAACGTACAGAGACGAGAGGAAAAAGGACACACACACAAACATAGCTTGCAGCTTGCGTCTGTACTATTGGTATATTGGCTGTTTGGGGGACAATACTGAATAGTCTAGTGGTCAAATTGGTGCAAACGACACAAAACATACATTTATTTTGCTTTCTGACTGAACACATGGTAAAACTTGACAAAGCTCATCCAGATAAGATATCATACAGTTGTTTTCACTGGCTCCCAGTGATAAGTCATGTTTAAAGTGCTCATTTAAGAGTGTTTTTTTGTATTTGAACCACATTAGCAATCATGTGTGTAGGTAATGCCAACATATTGCAGCAAAAGCTGTTATATGATCCCTACATTTTATTTTGAGTCAGTTTTCGCACATTTAGAAATGAATATTCTCCAAACACAGTACCACTATCCTACTTTACACCCATGTAAAGTGGATGTGTGTCTGGAAATAAAGTCATCTTTAAAATTAGACTCTCTTCCTTCCATTTTTGGACACCTGCATCCTGTCATAGTAAATACATCCTGTGAGGTCATAGGCTCTCATCCTGATGCTTGTCACTGGAAACAGATGCAGCACATGGGCCTGAATGTCGGCCACCCTGCTGTCTCTTCTGTGGTTCATTGTGTGGAGCCCAGTGGGGTCTCGACAAGGTGAGGCAACCTCCGGGCACCAAGGGGGCATGTAATGAGGGAAAGGATAAGATAGAGAGGAAAGAATAAACAGAGACAGAACCATGTGGAGGTTGCACATTTTGGAGAGAAAACTGGTGATGAAGGAAAGAGATAGGATACAGAGAGACATAAAAAACAGTCTCTACATATAGAACAAATTAGTAAATGAGGAAACATGACAGACTGCTGTGTGACGCTGTTGTTCCTGTAGACACATGACACCTCAAGAGCATGTGCTTTCCTCATTAAAGGACAATAACGCACCGGGCAGAGCCAAAGTTAGTCTACTGCCTGTCTGTAAAGCTATATTAGTCAGTGAATGAGCCCCACACATGATCGTACTGGTACAGTTACCCTGTCACCGTCTATAAATACTGAGGCAGGAGTTCTCCGCTGGCTGCTTTTATCTGATGATGGCATCGTAGATATGAATGCAAACAATACAATATGCACACATGCAGTGGAACAATCTGTTACAACAATGCTGCTCCACCATTAGAGCTTGACATGAATATGAAAAATATTTACCCAAAAAAAAGGAAATTAAGCAACCAAAAAAAAAAAAACAATGTTTCACAGGCTTTGTCAGGGAAGTTGAATTTCAATCACACACACAAAAACAGGAACTAAGAAGAAGTCTCACATTGTTGTTAATAATACAGACAAACCAATCTGCCCAGTTTAGAGTTAGGTACTAGAAACTAGAAAGGTTATTTAACTCAACTGAGGATAAGGTCTTGGTCAAAATAAATGAATAATATGCAAAAGAAAAAGCACGTACAAGTCTGTGAATCTGATGTTTTTATAAATCAGAATGACCTGAATTACTGTTGGCTTTAATGTGTATATGTACATTAAAGGTAGTTCAACATTTTGGGAAATGCATTTTCTGTGATACCAAATATATGTACAGTAAATCATCATCATCACCATCACTGTTTACATTTATGATGTCTTATTTATTCTCCTGTACAGCACTTTGGTCAACTTTGGTTGTTTTTAAAGTGCTTAACAAATAAAGTTGGATTGGATTGGATAAATAGCTACTGTAGCACATGGTTAGCTTAGCTTAGCACAAAGACTGAAAACAGGGAAACAGCTACCTGAGCTGTCCGAAGGAAAACAAAATAGCAAATCTAACACTCATACACGTTAAATGGGTTATGTGCCGCACTATTTCTTGACTGGGAGAAGGAAATTCAATTCTTCTGGACCCTCACAGCGAAGACAAGACTTAATGCGAAATAGTCAGGCACATAAACCTGATTGGTATGGATTACACAAAAGAGTTATAACATGTTAATTAATGAGGTTTCAAGGTGCTGGTAGGCAGGGCAGAGCCTGGCTAGCTGTCCCCTCACACACAAATGAGTAGGCCTAACTACATGTTAACACACCTCTTGAATACACTATTATCCTACAAGTGAGACGTTCTTCCACATCCGCTGATTGTGATTAGCTTTGTGTGGTAGTTGCCTTTACTGTACACTCACAAGACTAAGGATGGTATCGATGATATCTGCCTGCTGATAACATGAAACAGCCATTAATCTCATCAGCTGTCCTCTTCGGAGCGGTGACCCCTCCTCCTGATCCTCCTCCTCCACCCCCTATTCCCATGCTGTCACTCTCCCAGCCTGCACCTGTCAGATTAGTCTCACATCCTCAGCTGCCACTCCATATGATATGCCTCCTTACTGCCCAGAGCCCTCATGTCTTCTCACTTTGCATGTATTTAAGTGTTTGAGCGTGTGAAAGGGAAAGTGATGGTGGTGGGGGGGCAATCCCATGCAGAATGTGTTTAAAATGTAAATGTGACTAGTTTGTTGGTTCCCAGTGTTTCCTCATGTTGCAGCAGGATTGGGTTTGGTACCATCAAAACACAGACGAGAAAGTGTAGATTAACACCCCCAAATCTCTGGATTATTTGCAATCCTATAAAATGAGACCCAGCTTTGTGAGTGGATGCAGAAGGAAGATTTTCTTCTTTATTTTTCTGACAGCAGCATTATGATTACCTGGTCAGAGGTGTCATGGCTGCCATGCTCTGCTCCTGCTTGTCTGCATAACAGTTTTGGGAGCATGTGCAAAATATGACAACGTTGCCACAAATCACTTCCACTGGCTCACATCATGCACCGGGATAAAGGCAGGATGGAAGTCCGGGGAGAGTAGGGGGGGTGGACATAGTGGGGGTAGTGCGGTCTCCACTGAAAGCCTCCCTGGTAAGATGGACTGGAGCAGCTGAGGCGACAAGCATGTGACCAGAGGGAGAAATAAGCGCCACAGCAGTTTGTAGCTGTAGTGAAGCAGCCACAGATAACCAAAGTGACCCCGGAAAAGAGGCTTTATTGCTTTCAAAATAAGATTCACAAGATGAAAACGTAGGGCTTTTAAAGGAAGGCATTAAGTCAAACAAACAGAAGAATAGTAAGTTAAGAATAAGTAAGAATATCAAGGCAGTGGGTGTTATAAATACTCATAATGCACTCTTATGGCAGCACTGAAGGGTTGGTGGTTAAATTCCTGAGTCCTGCTGACCTCTGTCCACACGTCAAAAGTGTCTTTGAGCAAAACACTGAACCATAGTTTGCTCCAAATAGTTAAATAGGCGCATTGCATGACAGCTTGCTGCCACTGGTGTGTGTAAAGGGGTGAAACAGAGGCAGATTTGTAAATACATATTGCTTGAGATACAAATTTACTAGTATTTCTTTTACTCTTTTTTTACTTTCTCTCTCGTTTCTTTTGGGAAACAAACGGCTTTATATTAAAATAATTTATCAGCTGAATGGATTTCTATGGAAAAAAGGAGACCGTGTGAACTTATCCTGAGAACTTTATTCTGATAGAAATGACCGGAAACTGAGTTTTAATAGTTTAACTTGACTATATCAGGATATTTTCTATGACATTAGCGCAGTCAACGAGGCAAAAACACAGTACCACAACCTGGCACCAAGCAAGAGCAGCATTTAGAGAGTCTACACTGTGCGTACAGCCTGTGTGTGACAGTGACTTTATAAGACAATATATTAAAGTGAGTGTCTGCGTCTGTGTGTGTGTGTGTGTGTGTGTGTGTGTGTGTGTTGTGAGAGAGAGAGAGAGAGAGAGAGAGAGAGAGAGAGAGAGAGAGAGAGAGAAATCCGCTGTGCGTCTAGAAAGGATTTAATAAGGTGGTCCCCCTGTCAGGCACCAATTAATTTATCGGAGAGTAAAACAGTTAAAGGGTGGGAGGACAGTCAGTGGGGACTGTGGTGGCTCTGGAGAGCTGTCACTTTCTCTTTCTCTCTCTGTGTCTGTGTGTTTGTGTGTGTGTGTGTGTGGTGTGTGTGTGTGTGTGTGTGTGTGTGCAGAGAGGGATTATCAGTACGCACGTTACGCGGAGCGCAGTTTTGGTGATGCATTCAGTCTGGAGAAGTGCAGCGGGGAGCAACGAGCGTCAACGCGGACATTCAGCGGCATAATCGGCGCAAAGAGGATCCGGCTGGTTTTTACGGGGCACCTTCTCTTGCGCATCAGGGGGCTTTCAACCTCATTGTGTGTTTTCATTTATTTTGGATGAATCCCCCTGTGTTTGTGCACAGTGAAAGTCACATTTGCGCACCGCTGAACAAAGGATTTAGGGGAAAACGATCAAGAATCTCTTACACATTTTAATCCCGACAACACCCCCCCCACACACACACACACACACACACACCCCGGGTGTGTTTCGTCTCCCCCTTGTTTGGACCTGTCAGGACTCGGCATTCATGCCCTTTCTGCCCGTGAAGACAACGGACACGGGGCTGAATAACCGGATCCTCTAGTTTCCAACCTGGAGCAGGAGGAATCATCTGGGCTGATCGCGTACAGGTCCATGTGGATGGAGAGAGAATACGCAAACAGAGCGAGCGCAGCTGACTCCGAAATGTGACATTTTTTACTCTGGTCTCCCATCGTACCTGACAACTGTGCATCTGCCTTCGTCCTCGATCGGATTTGTTTACATCGATTAAGGTACGTGCTGCTCGCCACGTAGCCAGTAGGATTATTGATTATTAAGAAATCGGGGGCAGGGGTGTGTGGCGTCCTTGTGGAGATGTGTGTGCGTGATATATATTCAGTAGGTGGGACTATTTTAGCTGGGGGAAAAAACCCTCACAGGGGAACTCGATGTATTTGAATGCATCTCTCGGGTTTGTGTTGTAGTAAGGCTGTTTGGTGGTGGGGGGGGGGGGGTTATCATCACTGAGGTGGAAGTTGTATCACTGACAGCCCCCCTGGAGAAAGGCAATGTCGATGCACCAAACGTATAGGTGTGTGGATCAGTGAGGGGGGGGGCGCAGTGTTGTAGACATTGTTGCAAAAATGTATATTCACGCTCAGGGCTTGGCACATATGGTCTTGACCTCTAGGGGCATTTGACAGAACCATGTTAAGCTTAACTTAAGACATGGAGGACTTTGACCTGTGTGAAATCCATCGCTTGATTGGCTGTGGCACATTTTTTTCTCACGAGGATGAAAACGTTGGTCTCTTTTAGTAGCTGCGCCTCCATTTTCACCCAACAATACATTTGTATATTTTAGGAGTGTCGATCACTCCTCCATTCTTTACTTTAGAGGTTGGATGTCATTCTTTATTTTTAGGATCACACACCTAACAATAGTCTTACTGCTGCTCCCTCAAACAAACACACTCTTCTGGAACCCCCCCGGGACCCTCCCATGTGGTCGGTATTGTTAAAGAGAGAGAGAGTGGGAGAGAGGGAGAGAGAGAGAGAGGGGTGGAGGGCAGCTGGGAAAAAATAATTCTCTAAACGTGTGTTTGCATTAAGCTGCTCCTTAGGTCAGCTAGAAACCAAGGGTGCCCCCCTTTTTTTAGGAGATGTCTCCCTCCCATGCTGGCCTCATAAACAAGAGTCAGGGCCGGCTGAGACTGGTTGTCTAACTCAGAAAGAAATTGCACTTAAATGCCCACTCTTGTCCAATTAGACATTGGAAGTTTGTTTGGGAATGGAAGTCAATGTATGGATTGTGTTGGTGAATGGGTCGATGATACGTGGGCCCGTAGCCTCTGTCAGTGCAGTATTTGTGTACTCAGAAAAAACTCCTGGGCCTTATTTGGAGTGTCCTGTTTTCCATCATTAATCAATATTCAGCAGAGTGGAGCTGTTTATTCTCAGGATGCGCTTCCATGAGTTAGTTAGCTCCCTCAGGGGGAGAAGAGGATGCTACAGTATCTCCTCGGGGCTGATGCCATATGTACCTTGTTTGGATGAGTGTGTGCGAGTGCAGACTCTTTATGTACACATGACACAGCTGAGTGTATGAGCTGTAAGGAGTGCCATTTTCACATACACGGGAACTTCCCTGCTTCTGCATATGTGCATATGTGTTCACGCACCCACCCCTTCTCCCCTCTCTCTCTCTCTCCACACACACACACACACACACACACACACACACACACACACACACACACACACACACAAACACACATGCTCCAGGCACAAGGCTCGCTCCAATTCTTCCTTCGCACATCCGGCTGTTCCTTGTTCCTCCTGCTCCTCTGATCACACTCTCTAACCGGCTCTGATCTCTCTGGGCTCTTGTGAATCATCCCACTGCGAGATCCCATCTCTTCATCTATAATAGAAGATGATTATTGATATCACATGGAGGCAGAACACATGACACCAGAGGTTTGTGGCTCTGGTTCCAGGGCACTTTTTTTGGGTTTTAGATGCCTTCACATATGACCAATCTCACCCCCCCATCCGTTGTTGTTGCAGGGAGAGGAGGGAGAACCAGAAAAGGAGAGCAGAGGGAGGGGTGTAAGGCAGTGGCGCTGTTAATTGTTAAGTCAATTAGCATATGGTCTTGCAGTGAGCCCAGTCACATGGTAATGAGGCCTAATTAGGATGGCTCTGGGTGTCTGAAGAGGCTGGGGAAAATACTTCCACTATCATTTTTTTCATGCAGACACCCAGGAGACCAGTGCAGTGAATAGACTACCACTGATTCAGCCTCACCATTCAATATCTTTCCCTCTTATCCCTGCCTCTCCTGTCTGCTGTGAGTCTAGTTTTTTCACAAAACTTGTCCTCACCAACTCCTTCATCAATATTTCAGGACACCCATACGTCATACCTTGACATCTACCGCGTCTACTCCCCTTTCTTTTCTCCTTCATCCCCTTTCATTCCCATCGTTTTATCAGCCCCTACCAGCTGCAAGGGATTGATGATGACGTCACTCCAGGGGCTTACAGATGTGTAGAGATTGGAGACAAAGTCAGAGTGGTCAGATGGTGCACTGTAATTCATGGTTATTGTGCATTTTAATTGCAGTAGGAAGCTGAATGAGTGGTGAGCTAAATGCTTTGCAAACATATCTGTGGAACAGCTTAGTCCATCAAACATAAATGGAGTGGAATAGGCAGCTTTAACATTATCAAAGTTACTGTAAATGCCTTTTCAAGTGTAAATCTATGCACAGGGAAGTTATATTGAAGGTTCATTGTGTATGGTGCTGTTATGTCAGGTCTGTTTATTTCAGCAAAGATATCTTTCTCAAAATGCAGACTTGGAAATCTCATGTAAATTGGCCATGCTTTTGCAATTTTCTGCGTAGGAGGTCTCTGACTCCAGTTGAATGGAAGATTGGTAAGACCGTCTCTGGAAAGTCACAAGTTTGTGGATTACAATAACCATGTGTCCTGTCCAAATGTCCTTGAGTGAGAAAGAGAGCGCTGTCTGTTGCGGATACGCATCCTAGCTAAGAGTATGTCCACGTAAAGCTGGTTAATTTTGAAAACACATATTTTTCTCTCTGTTTAAGCTCTCCTTTCATGTTCAAACAGCATTTTCTGGAGCAAAAATTGAGCATAAATGTTAAAATGCCAGCTTTGTGATGTCAGAAACATACATGTAAAGATATTAAGACAAGGAAAAAAAGACATATATATGTAATATATCTAAAAGCTCAGGTAAGATAGGTAGGTCCTTATTGGTACTCATTACTTCTGTGGCCTCCCTCTTCTTCTCTTTTCTGGACAATATTTCAGGTCAGACTTTAACTCAAGCAACTTCAAGCTAATTATTCTCACTCAACACTCACTAGATAGACAACGTTAAGAAAGCTTAAGACAGAAGTTGCGACTGATAACAAACCTAGCTAGGACAGACAGGCTTATTTAGTGCTATAATAAACACAGATGTGTTTTTAATACACAGTCAATCTCATGCAGCGAGAAAGGACATCAAGACAGCCTGGGTTAAATTAACATGACTGATATCTAAGGCTTTATGTAATCCCAGCAACTGATGTAAGATGTAAATTAATGCGCCGTCAGAATAGGAAAGGTCTGTTAGTGGAGTCTCGAATGGCGTCACCCGCAGGCAGATGCTAGCACAGGTCCTGCAAATGACCTGCTCACCTCGACAGCTGGATCAGAGTGTTTCCAGCCATATACCTCCACAAACACACACATTTGCTCTATTATCGTCTCAGTAGTCTGAATGAAACAGTAGGAGAAAAAATGAGAACTGAAGCGAGTCGTCAAAATGCAATGATCCTCCCAATTATCACCACGGTAATTAGACAGCATCTGGTTGGTGTGCTATGTCTGATAATTAGGACGAGGTAATTGTACAGGACGGCTCACTAGATTTCCGAGTCCATGCCTATCAGAGATCCAGGATCAGATTTGAAGGACTGCAGTGCTGCACATTTGCACTCTCACGCCTGTATTCCTGTTGTGTTTTAAACAGCAGCGCTATAAGGAATGCATGCTGCATACTTGCCACATTCAGCTTTGTGTGAGAATGTGATGCCTTCACACACAGATGCATAATACATGCCACCAAGCAGAATGTTATATATCTACATGCAAACAGAGCCAGCGCACGTGGGCATTATGCCAGCCTGTGCAGACATGTGTGTCAGTGACACGTGCGGCATGAATGCATGTAACCACACTTCACTGCAGAATACACAAGTAAGATGGACCTCTGAGTGCCAGCAGGCTGCTTGGCACTGAGGAAGATGATGCCTGAGAAATAGCAGCCATGCAGCAGAACTGGCAGGAGCTGGATCCTTCCCCAGTTACATAAGATACACAGCAAGAATAAAGGCAACGGGGGGAGGGAGGAAAAGGGGCACAAGAAGGAGAAGCCAAAATGGAAGGAAGAGGGGTGTGTTGGGATTGGGGGGGGGGGGGTGCAAAGAGGGAGAAAATGTGGGGAGAGGAGGTGTGTGAGGTTCATCTTTCACAGCACATCTTCAAATGTAGCAGAGAGATGAGACCGCTTCGGCTGCTCTGGAGGAGAGGTGGTATTGAAATCCAACAAAATAGAGGATTTTAAATGGAGGGGAGGACAGAAATGGCTGACTGGAGCGTGAGTGACAGAGAGAGAAACATGTCTAGAAAGATGGGAGGGAGGGGAGGATGAGACGGCGACAGCATCCTCAGTGCTGCACAAAGCGGAAGGCCAGGGGCTCTCTCTCTCTCTCTCTCTTTCTCTCTCTTTCTCTTTTCACATGACTCATATTAGTGAGAAGCAGGGAAGAGGACTCAAGTGTGTGGCATGTGTGCTGTAGGTGTGTGCCAATGCCCTGTATGTCATGCATGTTTGCATGAGCATGGGTGATTTTGCGTGTGTGTGTGTGTGTGTGTGTGTGTGTGTGGCTACTGGCAGCACTCACTCTGTGTGCATCCTTCAGCTCTTTCAGCTCACCAGTCTGCCAAATCACACTCAAAAAGCAGCCAGAGCAACCATCTGTGCAAGGGGGGGTGACTGAGTGAGGGTGAGTGAATGAAAAAGTGGTCACTCACTTGTGTCTGTGTCTCTTGTTGCGAGCGTGCACTCTGTTTCGACTGTGTGGTTTTTACAGGCTCTGTCATTAGGAAGTGACAAAAGAATGCGGTGAAGAAAGACAAAAAGTACAAAAAGAGAGGGAGAGAGAGGAGGAGCAGTCTGCTCGGCTTGTCGAGGATGAGTGAGCCTTCCTCTGTTTGTCTCTCTCGCTCTTTTGTTTTATTCCTGCCATTTAGAGATGGGGCGTAACCATGGTTATCACAACATGATGTTAGGAGAAAAGCACGAGTTTATCAGGTAGTGTGTGCCACTTGTGCAGGTATGCATGTTAATGTAAGGTGTTTGTGTGTGTGTGCACTAAGCTCCAGCACTGTGTTTTTTTTGTGCGTGTTTTGGTGACTCATCCCCTCTATAAGCACTGATTGATGTTAATGTAGACCAATAATAACCAGTGGCTGTGAGCCGCTGCAACAAGGAGGGGAGGAGACGACAGGAAACGACAGGCTGAAATAACGGCAGGAAGCGAGGGAGCGAAGAAGTAATGAGGAGGCGTGAGGAGGAATTTGGAGGGTATAAATCTCTGAAGGATACATGAAAGAGCTGTAAACAAATGAATATGCACCAACACATATATATATGCACACATGCATCTTTATGGCCCCCTGGGGTCTCACAGAAATAAATAATAATATTTCAGAAGTTGCAAACAACTGCTGCCTTAAAAATATCTTTTTTAAATGGATAATAGGGCAGACACATCAAAAGCCTGCACATAAATGAAATGAAGGAAGAATTTAACCACTTGTTTTGGTAGATAAAAGTTCACTAATAACGTTAATTATGTTATTAATAACATGACCCCCTTTTGTGCAGAAGTACCTGTAGTCTGAAACAACTTCAACCAAAATATTATTAATAAGTTTACCGTCATTAGATCCTTTAAAGTAACATTATGTAAGATTTGGTATTTGTGCGATCTGGCGCCCCAAAGTTGCAATACCACTGTAGTAAATATGGACAGCTGCACGCATGCATTTTTTATGATTACATTACTTATAATCAAAAACTAGCAAGCTGCAAACTTTTCTAACTCAGCCAGACACACACAGCAAGCCAGCCAACAGCAAGAAGGCCAGCTTGCCGTCTGTTTGCAGCCTTTTATTTCACAAAGCTCTCACCAACAACCTCAAAGCCACTCCGAGGTTTTACTATTGTCTGGGGACTTCTCTTTCCTTTTTCTCTTCTTCGCTTCCTCTGTTTGTCCTCTTTAGTCTCTTCGCCTCTGTCACTAGCTATGTCCATAGAAGCTGCTGAGCCTGCCTGCGGCTAAGCTAACTAGTGTAAGTTGACAGCAGCTGCATTTCATAGCAGTTACTTTACTGTCTATCAGGAAACTCTGTAAAAGCACTGAGAGTTAAGGCGAAAACCACCTAAAAAAGAATCTCCAGAAAATATGATCCAGTTTCACCAAAATCAGTGATATAGTTGGTGGTGTGTGTCTTACTGCTGTGTTATTGCAGAGTGGTAATGACAGAGACACCATTCACCCTGTTACAACTAAGTGCTGTAGTCAAAATCACTTTAAAGCTGTTATTTCAAGGTAGAAAAGTTACATAATGTTGCTGTAAAGTAAATGTGCCAGTACAACCCCTCTAAAAGGTACTGCATTCAAAATGTTACTTACTCGTAAAAAGCATTAGGAAAATGTACTTGACTGTAACAACTATACTATATTATTCATGTGTTCACTATTTTATATAGGGCAGCTATTATTTTCCATTATAGATTCATCTGCTGATTATTTTGACGATTAATCAATTGGTTGTTTCATTCGTAATACTTCAGAAAATAGTGAGAAATGTCATCACATTAACCAAGAGCACCAGATGGCACCTTGAAATTGCTTGTTCTGTCCGACCAATAGTCCAACCTTAACATGATTCAGTTTACTGTAATTTAAGACAAGACAAGCAGTTTATCCTCAGATTGGAGAAGCTGGAACCATGAAGTGTTTGCCAATTGTGCTCAAAGAGTGAACTGAAATGATTTATTAGTTATAAAAACAATGTTTCAACTTTCTGGCAATCGACCAAACGTTTCACTTCTAAATCATTTAGAAGCTTAATCTGTAAAAGTGCATAATGTTTGATAAGAGCTTCATTTGTTTTCTGTGCGAAGTCGTAATTTGTAAAGCATAAATCTGTGAAATAAATGTAAAGGAATAAAAAGTCATTCAACTAGTCAGGAACCTCAGATTTGTGCTCACATGCAACGAGACAAATCATACAATCCAAATCAGGTCTAGTCTGAGTAAATTTACTGCAGGTCCACCAGACTTCCTCCCACTTCTTTCCCTGTTTACCTCAAGATAAAATAAAGTGTCTAGGGTCTCTTTGTCTTTGTCTGCCCCACTTAAACAACATGCTGGAAGGACTGTGTGTGACCTGTTGCCCTGGCTGGTGTGTATTTAAACCTACCACTCTCCCCTGACGGCCTGACCGTGTAAGTCTCCTTGACTTACTGGCGTGGAGCGAGAATATGAAGCTGGGATATTCAGTGTCCTTTATGTGGTATGTAAATATTGTGGTACAGTCTATTTGTGGACACCGGGTAAAACTTTTATGTCAAAACTACAGCGGGACTGAAGTCCTACTTAAATAAACAATCTAAAGTGTACCTTCATGCAGAGAGGCTTAAAAAAAGTGTGCGTGCGTTCTTTGTGAGAGCAGATTGTTTGACACACTAACGTATGAGCCAGCTTGGAAAGAATTTCTGGAAGCTTAGCGATGTAGGAGAGACAGTTGACGGTAACCTGGCAGAATGATGAGCTGTATCTGTGAGTGTTTGTGTGTGTGTGTGTGTGTGTGTGCGTGGTTTCGTGGTGGCTTTAAATATGCGTCATCCTCTAGTAAAACACACAGCTTGTCAGGTGAAACGACAGCACTGCTCATCCAGCAAAGACCTCAGTGACGGAAGAATGTGTATTTGTGTGTGTGTGTGTCTGACAGTTGTGATGTATAAAGGAATAGGTAGACTGAGACAGCATTGATTTCTCACACTCACTGCTGTGTGTTTTTTCTTCTTCTCTGGGACACAAACGTATACGACTGTTTGTACTTGTGCTTGAGGCGCTCTGTATTTGTGTGCAGTGTATTATGCATTGTCTCACGCCTTGCTAGATGCCCTTAGATGCCTGATAGTGAGTAGAACTGCTTGTACGCACTACTTCCCTTCTCTGTATCTCTGTTTTTTTTCATTAAAATATGCATGATGCTGCAGCTTTCCTGTCAGTGCTCCGGGCACCCGGTTCACTGGACAAGACTGGACAAATACTACAAGTGAAACTCTCTTCAGAAGCATTGTAGTTGCTCTGACTCTGACCGTACCTCTCTGTGAATGAACTGAAGGGAGTTTATCTGGGCTTTTCTGGGTTTGTAGGGTATTTTTCTGCCATGTGTATGTTGTTTGTTTCGAGTTGTTTGTCACAAAATGAAACATTAAAGCCTTTTAAAAGGGTCAAAAAAGGGCAGGGCTATAGGCTACTATTAGTGAAAAAGGATGTGTGTGTGCTTTTGTGTGTTTGGAAAGGCTTCAGTCATTCACCCTGCATGAACTACGGTCCTTTGTTTCCTCTATAAAACACAGCAGTGGCTGATTGTCTGTATTGTCACTCACAGGCGGATGATTACTGTGGGAATGACTGATTGCTCAACTGTGTAGCTTTCTAAACATTTATGACTATACCGACTCACTCTCTTTCTTGTTCTCTCTCCATTCCTTTGACTTTTCTCCATCTTTGCTCCTTTATCTCTCTCTGTCTTCTGGTCTGTTGATCTCTCAGAGATGGCGTTCCTCCCGGTCCTCCTCCTGCTGCTGCTGGCAGTTGCTCATCGTGCCACTAGTCAAATCTCGGAGGACTCTGAGGCTCTTCCAAGAGGCTGTGGCTGGGGCCTTGTGCGCCCCTACACTCTCCTCTGTGACCTGGACTCCATATGGGGTGTGGCTGTGGAGTCGGTGGCTGCTGGTGGGGCGCTGACTGCCATCTTACTAGCCCTAGTCCTGCTGTGCCGTTTACACCACATCAGTGAGGCTGAGAAGCGCAGCGGTGTGGGACCCATCCTCCTGCTGCTACTGGGCATCCTTGGCCTGTTCGGCCTGAGCTTTGCTTACCTGATCGAGCAGGATGAGTCTTTATGTTTGCTCCGCAGAGCTCTGTGGGGTCTCCTGTTTGCAGTCTGCTTCTCCTGCTTGCTGGTGCAGGGCGTCCGCCTGCGCAGGCTTGGCCGCGAGCGCCGGAGCCCTGGAGGCTGCGCCCTAACAGGCCTTGCACTGGGTTTAAGTGCTGTGCAGGGCATCATCGCCGCTGAGTGGCTTCTTCTGACCGTGCTGAGGGAGGGACGAGCTGCCTGTCAGTACCTGCCACTGGACTTCTCACTAGCCTGCAGCTACGTGCTAGCCCTACTACTAGCCGCACTGACTGCCGCCTCCCTGGCCCTGTGTGGGAAGACACGTCAGTGGCGCTGCAATGCCGTGTGGCTGCTGGTGACCTGCCTGCTGTCGCTGCTGCTGTGGGTGGCCTGGGTAGGCTTCTATCTGTACGGCAACGCCTGGTTGGGGAGGTCCCCGGACTGGAATGACCCGGCACTGGCCATTGCTTTAGTGGCTCAGGGCTGGCTTCTCCTGATCTTCCATGCCATTCCTGAATCCCACATCTGCCTGAGACCCCCTCCGCAGCCAACTGCCCCGGATTACTTTGACACCTCCCAGAACTCGACACGCATGAGGGAGACCAGCTTCGACGAAGACATCCCTCTCTCTCATAGGCAGTTTGTGGAGAACCAGGGCTACGGATACAACGATGAGAACACTGCAGGTACAGTACAACCCAATATTTTACAGCAGACAGGTGTAATATGTGCGGACAGGCTGTAGGTGGAATGTAGGCCAAAGTGAGTAATAGAACACCAGGAAATATGCATGCGTGGCTAGAAATAAGTACAGGAGGAAATTTCTGTGGTGCAGGATTACATAGCAAGTGTTTCTTCCTTTAAGAGAGACGGTGAGTAATCTCTGTCTGTTTCATGCCAGGCTTGAGGAGCGGTAGCGGTGCTGGACAACATAACAGTAACACCGCCGCCAGGCCCAGCGCTCCTTTCCGCAGCAACGTCTACCAGCCCACCGAAATGACCATGATCCTGAACGGGGGAGCGGTGAGTACATCCGCCCAGTCACAGGTACACGCCGCTTACATGCCGCTCTCTCATTCTACCACGCCGACAAGACTGCATGCACATTTGTGCGTTCCAGACCGTACGTCATTGCACAAGAATGAGGGAGAGGTGTGAGTATGTGTGCATTATCAGTTGTGGGTGCATGGTCACATGCCTGTGCGTGTTGTATTTTGTGGGCACATGCATGGATGGGTTTGTCACAAATGGTCACTCATCTGACATTGATTTGTGTATGGGTGAGTGTGAGAGAGTTTCCATGTGCTCCTGTGTGTGTAAATAAGCTGCGGTGCTTTCTGTCCACTGAGTGATGCGACTGTCTTCCGGCCTGTCACCCCCTTCATTATGCAGGATGAATGGGTACTCTGCCTGGCACAGGTGAACTTGTTTCCAGCCACTGTGTTATGAATTAAGCCAGCCACACAACAGCACAACACACCACCTCCAGACTGGAGGCTAAAAACGCTGAAGCACACACTTTACTGACTAAAAGATAATTTGCAGTCACTAGAGATTGCAGCTAGACTGTCTGGCCAACACCAGCAGTTAGCTTAACTTTGCATTAAGAATGTAAATAGGGGAAACAGCTGACCTGGCTTTGTCCAAAGCTAACAAACATTTTAAATCTTGTTTGTCTGATCAAAAAAACTGAAGTGTACAAATGACAATCATGCATGTTGTAGGTGTTTATTGTTAGGACAGAGCCAGGCTAGCTGTTTCCCCTTGTTTCCAGTCTTTGTGCTAAGCTAAGCTAATTGCAGCTGGTGTGACATGAGAGTGGTATTGATTTAATCATCTAACTCTTGGCAAGAACAGTTAGCTCAGTTCCCTAAATGACAAACTATTGCTTTACAGGGAATGGAGAGCATAAAGGATTTTAAGTTGGGTTTAGTGGTGGGAAGTTCTGCTTCTGTCTTCTGGAAGTTTGTTCCCGCTTTGTAGAGCACAATAATTAAATGCTGCTACGCCATGGTTCGCATCCAAATCTGGGACAGCTAGACAGCTACCAAATGACACAAGAGGGTTTTATTTTAAGTTAAGAGACAGTCAGAGATGTGTTTTGTCCTAAACCACGGAGGGATTTGTAGACTGGATGAGCATAAAGTATAAATGGGACGTCTGCAGCTACTGTATGCGTGTGTGTAAAGATGCATGCGTGAAAATGTGACGCTATCCAGATCTTTTATCATTTACCATTTTCATTTTCCTTTCTACAGGTGCCCTCTGCCCCTCCAACCTACACGGGGAGGCAGCTGTGGTGAGTGAGAGGATTGGAAAGAAGATGTGTGGTAGAAAATGAAGATGGAGAGGATGGAGAGGGTGAGGAGGGAGGGAGGGAGGGAGAGAGGGGCCCGGAACAAGGGGCCCGCCTGGTTGAATTGGACTGTGGACTGCCAACAGGACCCTTTTCACTCTGTGTACGGACTTAAACACTGACTGTGTGCCAATCAACTATTGTATGAGTGTGTGTGAGACTGAGAGAAAGTAGGGTATGGAGGACAGAGCTAAAGCTCTTCTAGCACACAAATCTCTATAGAAGGGTTGAAAAACTCGACCAGCAAGTAGGAAAACAAACACACGCTGACTCAGATCTGAAAATATCAACATGCAGTATATTTTTCTTTTTTGTTTCATTTGCTCCCCTGAGACTACAGCACTGTAAGCATCCTTGAAAACTGTGAAATCTATTGCTTTTTCCTGCTCTATCTCTCTCTTTCCTGTCAGTCAGGATGTCTTTTCTGCTGCTCCTCACAATGCTGGCGCTCAAGTGGAAAACATTTGGCTCTGTCCTCCATCCATCCACAGCGTAGGTGAAAGACAGAGCACATGGGCAACTGTACAGCTCGAGCACCGCCCTCTTAAAAAGAATCCAGCCTCTGTGGGTGTGTATGTAGAGTATATGAGAGGGAAGAAAAAGTGCGTGTGTGTGTATTCCCTACACCTCAACTCTGCCACTCCGACAAACCTACCCTCTTCAGACTGTTACCCCTCTGCTTCACCCGTGAACACGTCCTCCTTCCTCCCTCTCCATCTCTGTTGCCGGGTTTGCATTTCTCTGCACCGTCTGTGAATATAACACATAACTCTTCTCACCTTGCCCCATCCTCCCACCTGCATGGACACTTGGCAAAATGTGAAACAAACTGTGAAGCCTGAACTGAGGCCGGAAAAGACGTTCCCGGTGATCGCACACGCAACAAAAGCAGCCTGAGCAGAGGGTCACAAGCTGCTAATGAACTGCTGTTATACACACACACACACACACACACACACACACACACACACACACACACACACACATATATATATATATATATATATATATATATATATATATATATGATTGCGTAGAGTGGATTCTGATTGGACGAGGAGGGCGTCAGTCATCAGCAGGGAGGCACCGCTTCATGAATCTAGGTCAGACTACTGTGTGCTGCTCTCCCACATCTCCGGTGGCCACTGGCGGTTTGAACCAGCCAGGAGAAACTGTCACTTTATATCAGCAGGAAACGGAGCGAGGAAATGAAATGGTCTCCTGTTCTTAGTTCCTCTATCTGTGTTTTACGTGTGCGTACGTGAGTGTTGTGATTTTATGAGTGTTGGGAGTTGAATTCAAAATCAAGGTTGCTTTCTGGTGCTAAATATCCCTCCACATGGCTTCCCAGTGAGGCACAGAACCACAGGAACAACACTGATGCAGATCAAACTGTGAGTGACAGACTATATATAGAGCTGTGTGTGCTGGTGTGTGGAGATATCCTAGAGCCTCAGAAGGATCGGATTTACAGTGCAAGGTAGAAAGAGAAAGATCAAATGGATAGGAAGAGCGAGGAGGAAGGAGATAGCGAGAGGCGGTCCAAGGGGAGTGTATGCGACAGTGAAATCCCTGTGACTCCCCTGTGTGAGAAAATGGCTCCCCGTCTGTGTGTTTGTTTGTATGTGTGTTTGTGTGGCTGATGTGGGGGTGGCCCATGCTGCTCTGCTCTATGTGGTTGTCATCTTCATTTGGTGAAGCATCTCTCCCTCCTCCTCCTCCTCCTCCTCTTCATCATCCTACTCCTGTCTCTGTGTGGTGTGCTATAGCTCAAGTCTCCGTGCCAAGAAGGACTCTTGTTTCACCGGAGTCTCCGTTTCACGCCCTTTCCCTTCATCGTGACACCAGCTTTCTCTCTCTCTTCACCCGAGAAGCTGTGTACATAGTAGTGCTGTAAAGCTTTGCTTGCTTTACTGTTTTTTTTTTTTTTTTAACTGTAGGCTGAGTTTAGACACCAGTGTCATATGACTGACTACTGCAAATTGTTTTTATCTGAGGATTGTTTTTTTTAACTGGTTTGCTTTGTGTTCATACATTTGCTTGTTGTCGCATTATGATTTTATTTTTCTCTTGCTGGTGTCTTTTTATTTTCTAAACTAGCATTTTGGAACTGTTTTGCCAACACTAGATATGCTTTTATTATTTTTTTTGTTTGATTAATGTTCAAGGAAATTATAAGAGTTGTCATTTATAGGGATTTGTGTCAGTTGTACCTCCTGCACACCACTCTTTGCTGTAACAGTTACGGGGATACAAACATTATTTTTTCAGAAAAATGACAATGGCTGTGAATAACTTTTGGCACTTCATGCAGTAAACAATAATCAATATGTTATACTTTAGGAGTCATTATAAAAACTGAGCAGGTAGGGCTGAAAAAACTCAAACTTCAAGCCCACCAACAGCTATTTTGTTGACCCCCTGGTCTTATAGAAACCCTTGACTAGGAAAAGAACAAGGGTCAACCCTTGACTGCTGTTATTATGTTTATGTCTTACCCACTGGCTATTCTAAAATAAGACTGGTACCAGCAGGCCAGCTCCATGCCCAAAGAGAGCGTGTCCTGCTATGTCAGGCTCTGTTTGGGCCTGATCAGAAACAGGCTGTGGGACCAAAATCTGTGCTTCGTAGCCCACCAAGAAGAACTGTCCTCAGGGTTTTGGATGGTCAACAGTAACGAGACAAAGTCCTGTGAGTCTCAGCACTCAGAGCGGAGGGGGGAGGTTTCAGTTATTGTGATGAATTCACTCAATGTGGAACACACAAAAAAAAAAGAATAATAATAACGTGACTTTGTAGATTTTGCACTTGTCGACTACCTATCTGTGCATGCTTATCACCATTTCTACATGTAAGACCTTTCTCAGATGTACTTTTGAATACTAACTCTATTTATGTAAGGGTCATGTGACAGCAATCATAATTTCAGTGTATATCAGATGACACACTTAATGTCTGTGCTTTCTTAAACACAAAAGAGAGCTGGCTCTTGAGAAGCAAAGAGATTAAAGTCGGGGGGGGGAATGGTCCAAAATAGTAAGAGTCCCCAAAAAGGAACACAATGCCATCATCACTGGACCTAATAATAACTTTCCTCTGTTAGTTTGAAGACTGGAGGGGGAAAAAAAGAGAAATCTTCTGACTGATATTGTCTCTGTGTTTAAAATCAAAATAGACTGTGGTGAAATTTGCACAAAACCTCTATATGTTAAGTTTGTCATCCCTGGGCAGCCCACTGAACACCCTTCCTCCTTGGGTTTGACATGTCCTTGCCTGTCCTCTCCTGATTTGTCTTGCCTTCAGACTGTTCCAGTGGGGCAGCTGACAGGGGTGATATTGGTTTTCACAGCTGTGACTGTGCAGTGACGCAGCATGCCTATGTATAGAACTTTATTCCCCTGATTAGAAAAAGAAAAAAAACAGTTAACTCTCTTGTTTCTGTAACTGAATCAGGAAAAAAAAAAAGTTCAATAAAAGTGTCATGTTTGTAGTTAACTTTTAATCTTATGTGGGTGTTTTTTTCCCCGGGAGTGAAACAGTGACACGGATGATGATTGTGAAGATTGTCAACATCAGAGTCTGAGTGAGACTTGATTTTTGAGACCAATACCAATATAGATATTTGAGTTTAAAAATCTGTTAGCTGATATTTGTTTTGTTTTTTTAACAGAAACACACAATATATAAATTTTTTACAAGAATCTCTTTAACCAAGATGTAATGAGTGAAAATGTAGTTCTCTGTACTGGATAAACTTTGTAATGGAGACACTGTGTCTATTTATTGGCTGGATTTTAGTCAAAATCCTCATGAATTTCATCATAAAGCCTTTTTATATTTTGAAACAGACTTTATTGTTGAATCCTTAAAACATTTTGGTATATGTGCTATTTTACCTAGCGTTAGATGAGAAGATTGAAACCACTTTTGGGTCTAATAAATATACCAAGAGCAGCCAGTTAGCTTAACTTATTACAAAGCTAAGGAAACAAGTGAGACAGTCCGTACATAATGTTTAGGGATAGGGATTAAACAAAAGATACCTGTGAATTAATGAGCTTTAGGGGTGCTGGTAGATAGACTTTGTTACTTTTGGACGGAGGTCAGCAAGCTGATTCTCCCAGACTTGTTTCCAATCTTTATGCTAAGCTAAGCATAGCTTGCTCTCTGTAGCTACATTTTTGTAACAGTTTATGAAATGACATTGTGACACAGGTCGCTAATAGTGATGAAACTACAGGGAATTATCACTTAATTCAGCTTTAAGGAGTGACTGCAACGGTTTTGTGTTAAAAAAAACAAACTCTAAAAACCTACTGTGGTCTTCCTATTCAGCACAGCTGTTAGCATCTAGCTGGTGAACATAGTGCAGCAATTAGCAGCTAAAGAGCCAGATATTCCCCTCAGGAGTTGGTAGAGACCAAAAACAGAGCTAAAAGAGAGTGAATATTGGACTTCAGTCATGAGGTGACCAGAAACACAAGTCCAAATGAACGATAATGTTGCTCTATAACTCAGAAGGTTCACCACATCAACTTAAACGTGATATATATCAATGTTGCCAGTGGGGAAATAAAAAATCAGTTCTTGCAAGGTTTCACTCTATGTTTTCCCTTCAGTGCTGACGGTCATGTAGCAGTTCTAGTGTCTGTTTACATCAAAGACCATGGTGTTAGTGTAATAATCAGTGTATTCCTAGCTCATACAGAAATATATGCTCCAAACTCTGTGTGTAAACACAGTTGTATTCTACACTTCCACCTTCAGCCCAGAACCACAGTCCAGAACCAGTTGTTTTCTGGCTTCGCTCTGACAGCCTGGTGCCCACTCCCTCCGTCTGCTGAGTGATCCAGTTTCAGTCGGGCCCAGCGGAGCCAGACTCTGTGGAGCTGGCTGCACTATCAGATGTCTCCAGAATGAAATGGGCTGTTTTATCACCTCACCCAATGGCAGCTGTCTCCCAGGCATCCACATACCTGCAAAGGGAGATACATGACCCTCCTCATGCCTCACTGTGAGGCGGTGTGCATCAGTGACTGGGATGGTCAGGAAAGCCGTCCATCACAAGACCGCCGCCTCGCAGAGACCGTGGTGGGGGGAAACCAGAAGTATCCTCTCAGGTACACGGGGTTCAAGGAGCGATGGAAAAACGCCAGGAGTGCACTTTGTTCTCAGTTTAATTGACACACAGTCTGGAGAAGACAGTTATAACCTATATTATAATAAGTCTTTTAAGTTTGCACCAAGGAGAGTAAAGAACAGCAGAGTCAATTGAGCAGCTGAATTTTCTTTTTTACAAATTGAACTTTCCATGGGTGATATGTGACATTTAAGTTGATGTTTAATTGCTACCAGGTCAAAAAAAAAGACAGCTGAAGGTGCTGGATTCAGCAGGGTCAAAATGCAAAATGTCTGAGCTTTAGGTACATCACGCAGACTAAAACCATATCAGGAAAATATTCTACATTTGCTGTCATGAGGGAATCATCAACAATAATATACAATATGTACAAAGCACATTCAAAGATCATACAGAATTTTTTTTAATTTCTGATAGTCTCATGCCTCAAACCATCACACAACCTTTCTATCCAAACAAACAAGTTTGCAGACTAAATGTTTCTTTATTCTCTCTTTGACATTAAGCAGCTTTTCCATAAAATACACATGGTAATGTTTAAAATATTAGCGTATAATGTTAAGGTTTCCTTACTGCAGATAACATTCAGTCCACATAATGTCAGGAGATATATAACAGGGTTAATATCACTTGTAAAACAATAAGATCTAGGGATAATATTGGAATTATACTTGTTAGTGAGCTCTGTCAGAGCAGTAATATGATGTTTTTAAACACTCTTTTTCATTCTCCCTGACAGGATCATTTCCTTTTCTGATAAACAGGATAGAAAGTGTTGTTCTGCACGCTGAGTCACCTTTCACTCTGGCCTCAGTTCCTGTCTTGAATGGAAATGCTATAACCTCTTTTGTGGAGTGATATGTATTGCTAAGGAAAAAGGAAATGACAAGGCGAGGAAACACAATTTGGTTATCTTCCAGTGAGCCATAGGCTAGAGGTGCTGAGAGGAAATATTACGTCTGTTACAAGAGGTAGTATAATATGTGAGCCGTGCTAATATGCTGTTCATTTGTTGCGTGAGACTCATAAAGAGAGGTGATCAATCAAAAAGGCAATAAAAGCAATCAACTAATTAGACATGGATCTCAGACCATAAATCCCTGCCTGGCCATATCCAATTGGTTACAGGCGTTTTCAATGGTTGTTTGACTGATCACTTCGGTCAGTCTGACATCAACCTAACAGAGTTTAATAGCCTTTAAACAACAGGGAAACCTTGCACACAGTTAATGATTTCAGTTAGCAGTAGCACCGTTTAGCTCAGGTTTTTAGATCCTAGTAAAGACGGAGACACTGCAGTCAGATTTTTGTCACACGACTCGGATACCGCCAAGAAATCAGTCACTGGTGATGTCGTGGAGGCCATTTTCTCCCTGCTGCACATGCTGGGGGTCAGCCACTCGCCGCCCTCAGGGGTCATCTGGGTGGTGGGGGTGTGGACCACGGTGCTCTGGGGGGTCGGGGAAACAACCTGGATGGACACATCGGAGTTGCCGGGCTGGGGGCTTTCTGGAAGATCTGACATGGCAGAGCCCACTGGAGACAAACAAAAGCTGCATCCTTAACAGGAACGGGTTCATTGTTGTTTTAAGCAGACCGTGATGAATGCTCATCATTTAGAAATGAGCGCAGCAGACCTCAACATCGAGTTTGTTTTTTTGAGAATCTTGCCATTGTGCTGCATAAAAACACCATGGCACTTCCAAAAAACAGAAAAAAAGATTAAAAGCTCACAGGACTGTCAAACAGATCTTCAAATGTTTTACAAATGAAATACCTACAAGGCTTTTTTTGTCAGATATTGTTGATTTTATCTTGTACAACTCTCTGTTTCTCTGTTTCTAGCACAAATGTTGCAATGAGAAATTTCAGTAAAACCTCTCCAACAGAATAATTTGCAAGCGTCCCATTTTTTATCTTTAAAACAAAGACATATCTACTTATAATGTGAGCGTCCTGTTTTTGCTAGTAGTAAGTACATAATTCTGGTGTTTAAATGCTTCAAACAATTTTCCAATTAGTTTCTTAAACTATTAGTAGAGTTGTGCTATTCCCAGTTACAGTTGATTAGAAACAATCTTTTAATAAGGCCTGGGTTGAAAAAAACCCCATGATTCAGCCAGTTACTGACACTTTCTCTCTTCGACCGCTGCAAGGTTATTGTGGTGGCCTTTTGTTACCGGCCAGGAAAAGGCAATGGCTTTAACTTTATGGAAGTGAAGCTATGATGAATAGACTGCTATATTTGGCCATTTATTCCACAACAAGAGCCACAGATGGATTGTAAATGATGGCAGTGAAAGTTGTTTTGCTTTATTTACACACACGACTGTAACTGGTTTTAAGTGTGGTTTTGAAAAGCGCTAATTACTGTTTTTTGCTACTTGAGTTGCATGTAGATACCATCTGTAGCATTGACATCTGCACCGATGCTGCTCCTTAGTACCTTTTTATCATCTAAAAAAGAATTTCTTTGTTTCAAACACCATGACACGGATACTGATCGTGTACCTTTCATAATGTACCATTTATAAACATGGTGTGGAGGATCTTTATAATAAATTATGGAAATAAAATGAATGAATAATTAACTGTAACTGACTGTTTCCTTGCAAGATACAGAATTCATGACAACATAAATAGTTTTTTTCTTACATGTACTCTGACTTCTTACTATTACCATAAGGAGGAATAGTGTTCCTACAGGCTAACTAACTACTCTTGCTTTACGCTTGGACTGGTAAAGATCGATGTCAGGCTGCAGTCAAGGACAGTCATGTGGTGATTCATGAGCTGTTGAGAGCTGCACCTGTCCAATGAGCCCTGACTTTCTGACCTTGATGTATTGTGCTGTGTCTGCTCTCTGGGTTACTTGGCTCTCTCTCCCCCCTTTTGTTTTTCTCTCCATCTCTGACTAATTCTGATTTCAGACTGTGAAATGGCAGAAGAGGTATCGCATGCTGGTTTCCTCGGGTGAGATGAGATGAGTGCAGCTGTTGGATGGACTTAAAGAGCGTGTATACAGTAGGGAGAGGGAGGGGACTTCCCTAAATAATTCCTCTCTCTAACTCTCTCCTCTCTCTACCACAGTCCCAAAGTCATTTATCTGTCAGTGCTAGCGGGCAGCGCTTGCTTCATTACATCCAACACAACAAAAACAAGCAAACAAACTGCAACTTCAGCATCTCTTCCTCTGCCTCCAGATCACACATCTCTGGTTCTCTCAAAGTCTTTCATTTCACATTCTGTTGAAGCGGTCAGAAAATGGCTTCCACTCAGGACAGTCTGGGCAGACTGTCTTAAACACTCACACACACATCCCCAGGCACCCCCCTTCCCCACTATAATGTTAGGTCAGCAGTAGTGGTGCAGTAGCAGTAGCAGCAGTTAGCAGCAGCACAGTGTGGTTGTGGAAGAATGTCCGTCGGTGGCAGTGAGCGCCTTTGTTGTGTGGAATGTGTCAGTGTGGAAGAAACCTGTGTTTATGATGGTGTCATTGTTTGTGAGCCACACGATGCCGAGCTTAGTGTGCAAGTGTGTGTGTTTGTCATCATGTATATGCACACTCATTTAAAGCGGCAATGATCAAAATTTTTGGATGGATGGGTCACATGACTCGATTGTGAAAGGGATCACTCTAAGCGGAAAAACTCCTGACTGTGCAGTTCAACTCAGTTCTACAGAGTTTTATAGCATCTTTCAGCTGTTTTGGTTTTCTGGCCACAACTTTACTACTTTGGTTCACTCTTACTGCTCTCATGTCGTCGTTTTTGGTCGGAGCAGGCAGCAATTTCTTTACCAAAAACGCTCTGTATTTACCAGGTGGAAACAACCGCGAATGCTAAACGTTGCTCTGTAACTGCTGGATGTGTAAATAACAATTTGCTGACAACTTAAAAGGTGATAATCAGTCGTTGTTGTGTTCACAGACTGTTTCGGCTGTCTCCAAGTGGCCCAAAAAATTAGTAATTGCAGGTTTAGCACGCAGGTTGTAGTGCAGTGGTTCCCATTTTTTTTGTCTGTTCTTAATGGGATTTTTAAAATAATAATTCACTATACACAAAACACAGGGGCTATAGTAGATCCATAGCACATGGGAATCCATTTTTGATGTATTGTGTTTTTTTTTTTCCCCCGATAGGTTCAATTAAGTTTGCATACTACCACCGCTTGGTGTGGCTGAATATGGACGTTTTAACCCCTTATCCATTACTTTCAGGATACTCATTTTAGTAATATCTATTTTGACTCTTCTGTCCACTTGCTAACTAGTTTTCATGCAATTGCAACATGTGCTGGTACAATGTTACACCACATGCTAGCCGCTGCCCACATTCCCGCAATGACATTGTTAATATGCTGTTGTTTAGCAGCACATCCACTTCCTCTTACTGTACAAAAATGAAGCCACTTTATCCCGGATACAGCCGCTGTCATCTTACTCTTAAACCAACTTTTTATAGCTTCGAATAACTTAAACACTTAACACTTAAACATACATCAGCGTGATCAGAACTACATGAAATGCCAGAAAGCATCTATGAGGAAAATGTATTTGACATGTACTTCCAATTTTTTAGTTTTGCAAATGTCCCATCTGGATACATGGACGCAGCGGGTTTTATTACCTATACTGCAATCAGCCTCCAGGGGGCGATCAATATGTTTTGGGTCACTTTTGGAGTTCTGATATGTCGTCAATGTGTTTGATCATGTTCATCATTTTAGTTCAGTATGTAAGCATGCTAATGTTTTCTAGTTAGCACAAAAGACAAAGCACAGCTGAGGCTGATGGGAATCTCATTAGTTTTTCCATAAATCACAGTGTTGGACAAATTTATATTTTCACCTGATGGTGGCGCTAGAGGAAAGATCAGGCTTCATCCACTGGACACCATGGATATTTACAAAATTTCATCGCATTTTGTGTTGAGACACTTCAGTCTGGATTAAAGTGGTGGACTGACAGACTACCATTGCCATCTTTTGAGCGAAAATCAGCATGAAACCAATTTATAATCCTATTTGTGTTTTTATTTTCTTCCCTTTTTCTAATAAAATCAAAATTGATATTTTTTCAAATTAGCAGAACTTGGCCAGTCTTTTCATCTAACCTCTGGTAACTGCGTAGTTACTTGAATCACTTATAGTACAGTGTACTACCGAGTGTTTGTGTTCAAGGGCAACGTGTCGTCACTCTCACTGAGCTCTAAAGCCAGTCCGTCACAGCGGACATGGGCCTGCATTCTCAGCTGCTCTGCTTCATGTGTGCTCAAACACACACACACATTCACTCAAAGGCCTAAACGCACTTTATCATTTTATACTTCTCTCTGCCCCCCTCCGTCTTCGCTCTATATCTCTTCTCTTTCTTCACATGCATCCCACAGTCAGTCCCCATCCTCTGCTCTATCTCTCTGTCACACAAACACACCCTGAGCCCTGCGGACATTTTCTTTCTCTCCTTCACTCGCAATCTTCTCTCTCTTTCTCCTTACTCACTCCCCCTGTCTTTTTCTCTGCCTCTGCCCTCATTCTCTCTCTGTGTCACTGCTCTCTGAATCCTCATCTCTCTGTTTTGACTTCAAAGCCTTGTTGGGATGAATACTGTATCTCTGCAGTTCATATGCATGTGTGTAATTGTGTGTGTGTGTGTGTGTGTGTGCTGGAGACTGCACAGTGCAGCTGATGATATATGTGTATGAGTATATCGGTGTGTATACTACTGTATGGGTTGACATCTATGCATTGTGGATTGTTTGTGTGAATGTTATCATGTGCTGGCATCTTGCCTACCTATCAGCAGCTGTCGGCCACAAGAGAAAATTCAAGATCAATGGTATTGTGTTGCCAGCGAGCCTCAGGGCTGGCATTCAGTGATACCATGTGAGGGTGTGTGTGTGTGTGTGTGTGTGTGTGTGTGTGTGTGTGTGTGTGTGTGTGTGTGCACTCTCACCTCGGCTCTCTTGTTGGGCCCAGAAGTGCTCAACAGTTTTGGCAATGTCACGGTTCTCTCTCAGTTCTTTCTGCCATTGGCGCAGCTCCTGCACATCTGGCCGTGCCCTGGTCTATAACACACAACAACACGTGCGAAGGCATCACATGTATAACTTTACATTAGCAAACATCAATATCTTAATTAAGTTGCAAGCCAATCAGCACAAGTAGGCTTTTCTAACGTGGCTCATTTAGGGTGTCCAATATTTTTTATTAGTATAATTGTGTTTCATTGACGTCAACATTCACTGTGGTTGGAGACACCACAACATCCATACTCCATACTCTGCTAGGTCACATCTGTCCAGCTGCAAATGCTTAAGCTCTAACTTCTCTCCTCTGTCAGTAATATATTTGTGTTTATATTAAGCGGTAAATTGACAAATCTTTTCACTTTTATTTGTCATGTTCATTCTTTATACTGAGATTTCCCTGATTTTGTGCAGCTGTAGTGTTGAAATGTTTTAATCTTGATTTTTTCCACATGAAAAATTACTGTGTAACTTTGTTTTCAAAGGTGCAGTATAAATATGCTTTATTATTATCTGTATAGTTTTAACATGTGGTAAGTTATGAACATCAGCTTTAACTTAGATGCTACACCTTTGCATAATGAACACATTACGGCGTGTGTGCCTCAGTGCGTGTTATGTAAAAGTAGCGCAGTACTGCAATGAGCAGAATATATTATTAAAATGTATTACTGAGTGTGTTTGTGTATCCTATGTGTACCACTTGAGTTGGTGAGGAAATGGGTCAAATCTGTCTCTGAATCTTCTCTCAGTCCAGCCTGTAGTTAGCATGAGTTATGCTTTTGTTCTTGGAGAAAACCCCTGTAGTTGTTATGTCTGTTTGTGTGTGGGCTGCTGGCTTTCCTGAGAGATTACTAAACAGACTTGCTGTTTTTGATGAATAGAAAATGACCCTGAAGAGCTCACTCTCCCTTTTCCTTCCTTATCTCCTCCTCCTACTACTACTCTCCAACAAACTCCTTCCTTTTTTTTCTTCCAAGTCCAGGTGTGCCTCCTCACACTCAACCTCAGACGCTATCTCTCTCTCTACCAACGGCTTGTTTCATCTCTCTCCTCTGTATTCTCTTCCACCTCTCCTCTCTCCAACCTTGTTTTCCTCTTACTCCTCCCTCTCCATTCGACCCCAACTTTCTCCCCAGTGCCTCCCTGAATGGCGACAATAGTGTTGCTATTAGCAGTCGGTATGAAAGTGGGCCTGTTATATAAGCCTGGCGATGGGTTGAGGAATGGGTAAGACTAGAGGGCTCCAATAGTTAATTTACCGGGTGTCAGAGTGCCGCAGCAGCCCTCCACTGATGGGAGCAAACCATAGAAATGGAAATGAGGGGTGAGGGTCAGGAGGGGTGGGGGTTGGAGTCTGTTTGCTCGCCATGGTTTGTGTGTGTCTGTGTCTGTGTGGCCATTTCTCTCTACCACTTTCCATTGGTGTGCTGCGGAAACCTTATACCTGCCAGCCAATACTAAATAAAATTTTTATATTTGACGTAGCTGTGACACACAAATCTCAGTTCCTGGAAAGCTGGCTTTTTGAATACACATGCAGGACGCTGGCAGTTTGTGTATGATAGCAAGAGACAAAGAGCTGGGTTTAGTGTGTGTGCGTGTGGGCATTTTGAAGCCTGTCGGGGTGCATCAGAACAGCTGATTAGCAGGGCTGCTGTATTGTTTTGACTGCGTGCATCAGTGACTGTGTTTTGTAACTCTGAATTCTGAATGTGAGCACGTATATATTTGAACTTACAAAAAATTTTAATTGTGAGCAGCAAATTATGTTTGTCTTCATCTATTCTTCCTCGTTTTAATCATTAACGCACATTTGATAATACGTATCTTGTTGCTATAATCTTTAACGTCACACACAACAGTCAGTGTGCATGTGAGTCAGTCCTCTGTATAGGCATGAAGATTGGGAATAGAGTGATTAGAAACATTTGTAAGACATTGCGAGGCTGCATGCATTCACACACATTACTTGGAATTCAAAAGCCAACACACACAAATTAAAAATCACACAAAAGCACAAGACACGCAGCACGAGCAGAACCCCCTACACTCACCCACAAAAATGCATACAAACTCTGCTGCTATGCCCTCTTTAACACACACACACACACACACACACACACACACACACACACACACACACACACACACACTTCGATCCCACTGCACAGCCTTTCAAGCTGCCTTCCTTTTTGTGCAAAGCTGCCTGTGAGACTGAGTCCCTCTCCCATTCTCACACTCTGCAGCAGCACAATGGCTTCTTTTTGGAGGAACTGGCTGCAGTCACATCACCAGCCTCGCTGACAGGCTGCATAAAGACACAGCCACTGCAGCCTGCTCTGTCTACGCTTCACACTCCATCCGCCCACCGATCCATCATCTTTTTGTTGACTGTTGCTTCCATCAAGGCTTAACCAGCTGAGTGACCTGTGATCTGATTCATGCCTTTGTAGACTCAGGCACAGTGAGTGGTCGTGCTATGGCCTTACTGTCATTTAAAGGTAAATTGGATCTAAAATCCTCTGTAAATTTCAGATGATAGTGAATATCACACGACTACCTGAGGAGGCCTTTCATGCTATGACCAGTTTGTCTCATTCTGAGACAGTGAGCCCCTACAGCCCCTCAGGGGGGTGGGGAAGTGAGGGCGAAGTAGGGCCACCGGCTACTGGATGTCCTGAGTGCCTGTGACATATTTTCTGCATGAGTGTCACTGCACGTGTCCCGCTGAGTTAACGCTGGACCTCAATTCAAACCATTCATCTATTGCTGCCCTTGGATCATTCAGCTGGAATCGCAGACCTAGTTCTGCTGTTGACTATACAGCTCTCAGGGTGTGTGTGCAAGTGTGTGAGAGATTCTTTCAAACAGCTCTATTAGTTTATGTCAAGAAGAATACACTCAGTTCTCACAGTGTCCCACTTTAAGAAAATAAATGTGCCTGCTAGTCCAAGAAGACTTTCTTCAGACATGTTGAAAGTGTAACAGTATTTTTATATTTACATTACTTACCAAACGATAATGAAAGAAATATGGCTTACTATTTTTTGTGCATTGCATTGTTATTCTTAAAAACAAAGCATCCACCTCAGAGTGAGAAAACCATCACAGTTTCTGCAAGCTCTAACACTTGTTAGACAATTTAAATACCAGTCAGAATAAAACATATGAGCAGTTTTGGCACAGAAATGACTATAATAATATAAACAACTTAAGATTTTAAAGTCCTAGTTTGACATTTAGGAAATATGCTTAATTTGCTTTCTGTGTAGAGTTAGATTAGTAGACTGATACACTCTCGTGCTGGTATGGTAAAAAATGAAGCTAAAGCAAGTGGTTAGCTTAGTGTGGCATAAAGATTGGAATAAGAAACAGCTAGCCTGGCTCTGTCTGAAGGTAACGAAATCCACCTACCAGGACCTCCAATAAATATTATATTTTTGTTATATTTTGTTTGTTCAATCTACACAAAAGTGTAAAAAGGACAATTTGAGGTTATGTGGCGGACTATTTCTCTGCTGGGAGCAGTAACTACCTGGAATCTCTGCGGGTTGCCTGGCAACTGCTCCAAACAAAGAAATAATCCGACACATAACCCCCCCCTCCCCCCCATAAGAGAGCAAGGAGAACTGTCATTTACACTTATTTGTACAGAGCCTGGCTAGCTGTTTCCCTCTCGCTGTGCCAGAATTTAGTGTACAGGGTTAGGCTGCACAAGGCTGTGCAGCACAGGACAATGCTGTGCCAGGAAAAGGCCAACCTCGCTGTGTGGACGCTTAATAAATCTGCAAATAGTGGACAGTGGAAATGATTATGATGAAAGCCTGCTTCTCCACTTGACCACAAACCCTAATACTGACAGCCTAATTGTAATGCCTATTTATTACACAGCAGCCACATTACTGCGACTCAGCTGACTAGGCCTGAGAGAGCCTGAGAAGTCTCAGCGTGTGTGTGTGCATGTACATATGTGTGCATTACAGTAGCAGGCATGGATGAATGGATTAGAGTTGCGCTAAGGCACACAGTCTAAAGAAGATTATGTAATATGTTTAGACCCATCAGCTCTTTATGTTTGTACGCGAGGGAAAGAAGAGACAATCGCATTGTCTGGGTCATAGATGTGAGTTAGTGTGTGTGAGTGTGTGTGCTGCTGCGTGTACTATCTCTACCGCTGCTCTTCCTCAGTCTTCAATATGTTTTGATGAGACGTATTAATAATGGAGGGATAAAGCTTCAATCTACAAAAATACCCTCCTTCCCTGCTTCCTGTCCTGGCTCTCGGTCTGTCTGTCTTTCTTGCAAACACACATACACTCACACAAGTACACACACACCCTCTGCAGTCCGCGCTGCGTCAGGCAGGTTATATAACAGCAGAGGGTGTAAGAGTGAGGGGGAAAGAGGGGGTGTAGATGGGGTTGAAGAGAACATGGTATACTGATAAAGGTAGAGGAAAACCACGTAGAAAAATTGTATTCATCACTGAGTCAAATGTGTTTTTCTATAGCAAAATCCCATAATCCTATTATACTCTTACAGTACAAGCCCTCAAAAATATTCTATAAGTACTTAAAAATCTCACACTAGGCCAGTTTATGGTGAAATATAGCTTGTTATTGTACACTTCGGTATTAAATCCGTGAGCCATGATATCTTGAAGCGAGAGTTTTGCCTGAATACATTTATAATGGGAGACAGTTATTATTATTACATACAGTACGTACACATTCTCAGGCCGGTAAACTCAAATGAAGTTTTAAAGTGCTTCACTGCGGACTCTGTTTGTGCCGTCTCTGCTCTGCTGCCCACTGAGCTGTTAACTGCTGTTTTTTCCCCAGCCAAGGTAACAGCAGCCGTGACACACTACAACGCCTGTCAGGACTTTGCCTCAGTGCTTATACCCAAAATATCTCCACCCTGTGCAGCTTGAATAAGTCATGATCCTAAGAGGCCAACCCTCAACATCGGGCCCCGGTTGTTCTGCTTTCCCAGCATCCCTGTGCTTCTCAAGGGTTTCTAGCCTCCGCCTCTCTCCCTATTCTTACCCGCTACGGATGTTGCCAAGGCCGCAGTTCCCTCCATCTCGAGCCATTTCTAATCCGAGGCCACTCTGCAACATCATCTTGCCTCTTTCCTCCCTTTTGTCATCCATCTGAAAATGTTCCCTAACACGGCCCGAGCTTCATCCTCCCAATCCCTCACTACTGTCTCTCTGTCTCTTTCTGGCTGTGTCTCTCTGTTCCTCTAAATCCCTTGGGGGGCTGGGCTGCAGTGCTATCAGTGGCCCTACTGAACCTCTCTTAGATCAGAGTAAACACAGTGAGGAGTGACAGGCAGCTGGCCCAATGCTGCCACCTCATGTGAGCAAAAGCCAATTTTGTTTGTTACAATTTTTTTGTTGTAACAAAAAAAAAAAAAGGAAGTGTTGCCCCCTGCTGGTGCACACGTAGTCCAAACATGGATGCATGCACATGTAAATGCAACACATTTTTCATGCACACACCCACAAATTCAAATGCATGTAAAAACATAGTTCAGTCAAACAGAATGTAAATGTTCATGACAGCACAGCTGGCATCTTTTGCTCTCAATGGTTTGTGCAGCAAGACTGAAGCTGAATCCTCCCACAAACACGAAGGAGAGGAAAAAGCTTCTGGTGAGACAAACAAAAACATGACCTCCGCTTACATCCTTACACCATACAATACTGGGGTTATTTGTGTGTGAGTGTGGACAAATTGCTTTTGATTGCCTCTGGTAGTGTCTGTTTATGTCTATTTATATCACAGTACAGAGCACTTCAGACCACAACGCCCACACAGGAAGGAATTAAATCTCGGCATCACTGATGACATAATCAAGCTGCTGAATGAAATTGTGGTCCGTGTGGGAGAGGGGCTTTTTAGCTGGATGGGATTATACAACAAGATCGCACTGTGGGCCGATGCACACGCAGGAGGGCACCTATTGTATCTTAACAGACCCATACACCCAGGCAGAGGCTCACTGTGGTGTGGTGCGTTAAATGTAGGGTTCCTTCATGTTTCCATACTTCAAAATCCTATTTTATTCCACAATGTAACTTCTTAAATTAGTCTGAAAAGCTTGGGAGATGGAATTTAGATTTGGTAAGCCTGAATAGACCAGACATGCACAGCTGAAGTAATATGCATCCATGATTAAGCAACACTTTTGCATTTTGTTCCAGACATTTACTTTGAAATTTCCTAAAATTTCTAAGACTTTAGAGTTTATATGTGTATTTTTCCATATTCCTTTAGGCTTTTTAGACCTGTAACCAATTTTCTCCCACTTCTGTCTGTCTGTGCTTCTTGTACTTAAGTATAGTTTTAAACAGAAAGCCTGCAAACATCGTTTTGCTTCATATCATGAACAGTGTACCTTATATCCCCTCCAGAAAGCCTGGATGATAAGAGCAGCCTGATCCTCGCTCAGCAGCAGAAACAGAGGGAGGGGAGGCCTAGGACTGGAGATAAAGAGAGAAAACAAGGAGAGAAAAAGTGCGTCAAGAGACAAAACATGAGGGTGTGTCACCTCATCTAAATTAAAAAAAAAAAAAAACACAGCATCTATCTGTGGGCAAGTTTGTGTGTTGTCATGACTTAAATCTATTTTTTAAATATTTTTTCCTGTGAAATGAATGAATGAACAATGAATTTGCAGGTAACAGCGGTAGATTGAGGAGACACTCACTGCACGCTGAGCCAGTCTTTCACAAAAGGGATTTCCTGGAAGTTCACTGCCACTTGTCCTTGCCTGCAGGGGTTGTGGCTGAGGAAAAAAACACACACAGCCCTCAGAAAATATAACATTTGAGAGAAGTGATGAGGTGAAGTAAGGTAAGATATATACAGAGAGAGTTTGTGTGTGTGTGTGTGTGTGTGTGTGTGTGTGGGAGGGGTCTTACTTGTAAAGCCACTCAGTTAGAAAGTCACATGGGTTAAATGCTGTTATTTTTCTCTGCAACACAAAAGACAGTCATTAGTGCCGTGCCTCATGTAGACAAAGTAACTATAAGTAAATATAAAAATGTAAAAATAATAATGTATTAAATGTAAAAGTCTTGCATTCAAAATCTAAATTGAGTAAAAGCACAGAAAAACGTACTTAAAACTCAGTGTTATATAGACACTAGATTACGTAACCTGGATTATTATTACTGATGCAGTAATGTGAATGTAAATGACCTCATATACTATATATAGAGCAATATATCACATTTTATAATATTATCTTATTATTTGTATGTAAAATTTTAATTTAAAGTATAAAGTAGCAGAAAAGAAAAGGAAATACTCAATTACAATTACATAAAAACTTTACTTAATCAACGTAATTAGACCAAGTTGACATGTCTTGGTGTGGCATATTTGACCACTTTTATTACTTTATATTAACATATAAATTCCTTTGATTTCAGGTTTTAGATCAATCTGTGGTCGTTTTAACAGCACTGGTTTATTAGTTAGCTGCCTAGAAGAAATTCAGACCTCGAAACAGCCGTGTTTCCGGGCTTCTCTCAACAAAGCCTCCAGTCCAGGCAACAACGCTGGAAACACTCTCCTCTCCAAATAACGTGTGACAGGACCTGCACACACACACACACACACACACACACACACACACACGCACACACACACAAGAATACATTCATACAGAGAACTTAGTAACACTTTGTTCGGATAGTTTATAGAGTATTTGCAACATTTCAACTGTTTTGCTTTGTCTGTAGATGGTTAACAGATTATCTATAGAGTCATTCATGAACGTACCCTAACCCAGTTTTCTATCATTTAGTGAACTGACGACCCCTGACGACATATTTTATGGATATTTCATATTATATTCGAAACTGTACAATGAACCCAAATAGTGAATTCAGTAACTGCAAGAAGTTTGTGTTAAACAAGTGATTTGGATAAATTCTGAGCAGATTATTTCCTATTTAGGGAACTTTTATACTATTCTCTGTATTATGTATTTCTTTTTTAATCATTTATTACTTATTAGACTTCTTTTTTCTGGCAAACTCTGGGTTTTCTTGTTCCTGACACTTGACCATTGTTCTGTAGACAACTTACTTTACTTTCCATTTATTTTTCATCACCAACATGAACAAAATCTCTGAGATATAGGCCTACTGTGTGTATTTTTTATTTTAAACTTCAAATAACTTAAATTTTAAATCAAGAAGGCCTCGCAAACCCCCCATGAAGCTTTGGCGAACCCTAGTTGGGAACCAGAGCATTAATTAAGATGTTTTCTGTGCCTGAACTTCACCAAAACATACACAGAGATGTAATATTCAGAAAATGGTTGTTGAATCTCAACTAATAACCTGCTGAAATGTTACAAATGCTCACAGTCTAAGTGTTATATTTGCACACAGCTGCACCAAGCAGAGCAAAGCCCATTCGTCTTACGTTCAGGTACTTGTGGAGCCGATGTAGTTTCCACTGTTGTCAGGCGCTTCTGGCTTGAAGGACGAGCTTTTCCCAACACAGAGTAGCCGGCGAGAGCAGGGTGGCAAAGAAGAGGGTCAAAGTCTTTCAGGGGATCATCATCCACAAACACCTGATGAAACCAATGGGGATCATTTCAGAGGACGGACAACTCAGACACAGGGATGAATGAAGTGAATGATGAGCTGACCTTGGCTGTAGTGAGACCATAGAAGACCGGGGAGTGTGTGCTGGCGCTGTACTGGGAGAACTGGGTGCTCACTGAGCTGTTATCTGTCCACATTGCACTGGGAGGACTGGGCTGCTCAGCTTCAAACTCTCCAAAAAACACATTGAACAAAAACAGATTTTATTTTACGCTGTTTTTTTTTTTTTTTAAATTCACAAACTCTTAAACGAACTGAACATTATCTTCTTACCTTCACACACTTGCTGCCACAGTGACTTTTTGGCACCGATTATCTTTGCCATTATTCAGCTTATTTGTTCGGGTGGTTGCTAGGGACTCGCTGGTTGCCAGGGAAGTAGTCATGCCTAAGACTTCCGGTGTAAACACAAGTCGCTGCAGAAGCAGAGTAGCGATTGGTGATAATAAGGTGAAATTTAACTAAAAAAGTGGTCAAAGATGTTAAAAAACAGAAGAATTAAGACTCAAATGATTTGCTAGAACATACCTGAACGGTGCAATTCATTCTAAACTTAGAGTTGTTATTCTTAAAAAGCCTTTTGCCGCCGTTTGTGTCGATGTGTCACATAAAGGTGGTCTCGTTTATATCTCAATAAACAAGGTCGTGTTTTTGTGCCCGAAGCTTTTTTTAAAAATAGAAAATATTGTCCTTTCATCTGCCCTCGATTTTAGAAAATCAAATGCTGCAGCGCTTCTCCTTTAACGCTGCAGTTCCGTTACTCGCCGCTAGAGTGCAGCAGATAACTTACTATTAATAAGTAGTAACACAGGTCTGAAATATCGATCCTATAACAGAGATACAAAGTGTGATTTTACATTTGCCTCACTATTCTTGGGGGAAAGGAATAAGAATTATCTTTGAGTCAGTTTCTTTTTAGTTTACTCTGAAATGTTTTTTTTAGACTCGTCCATGATTCGCTCAGTAAAGTCTGTAAATCTAACTGCTTAACCATGTTAATCATACTGTAGGTGTGCCTGCAAGAACCCTCTATTATACCTCAATACCGTCTTACATTGTTAAGATGTTACTTTTGCAGTGTTTTTTTTAAAAAGGTATTTGGTTTTCACCTTTTCAAATGAGCAAACACGCCATAATCTTATCTGAAGGTGTTTGGCTTTACTTTCATAATACTGTTACAGTTGTTATACTTTAGTTAAGACTTACTGTTGCTCTTCTACCAGGAAAAGGTTCAGTACTGCAGTCAGATTTGTTATTGCTGCCTCCAAATAAATATTGTCAAAGATCAACCAAAAAAAAAAAAAAGCATTTTCAATCTGTTGATGAAGAGAACATAATAATCTTAGTCTTAAACCACGATCATGTTATTCAGGGAATTTCTTCAAAATTAAAGTCTTTATTGGAATATATTCCAAAGCAGTTAAGTCATCTCATGACTGAACAAAAATAGCCATTTATCTTAAAAAAAAGTCCCATGATGGTTCCAAAATGCACTGAACAGCTTATGACAAAATATACATTGCATTAACTCATATCTTGCAGTCACTAATTGACTTGTTAATAAATAAGATTGTGAACATTATTTTATACATAACATTTTTAGACTTCCCCATATTTGCAACCAAAATTGATGACTACACACACCCCATTTCTTTTAAACAAATTGTGAAGACCCGTGCCACAAATATTTCTCTAACAAGTTGTTGCAGTGCATCCTCTGACATCAACACCCCCCCCCCCCCAAAACAAAACAAAAAAAGCCAAACAACACAATGTAGAAATAATGGTAGTAATACAATAATAATAATAATAATAATAATAATAATAATGATAGTAACAGGATGATTTTTTTATAAAGCAACACTGATAAAAGCAGATATTATAAAGGACCAACTATCAACAATGAAATATACAGATTACATTCCTTCAGGGTTTCAGAATAGAGGGAGCCCATGTGAGGAGGACGTTTATAACTGAGCTAGAAGAAGACAAAGAGTCTCCTCTTGATAGAAACAGAAGGGAAAATCACACTCTTGTCTACAGGAGAAGTTATTATATTATTTAGCTTTCAACAGATTTGGTGATTTGAGATCCAGGCACTGGATTCAAACCTTCAGAGAGGACACACTCATGTAAATCCACGATGCATGTAAAAGTTACAGAGTATGGTTCGGGAAGAGTCACATGCTAGAATGAACCCGGGAGTCCATCCATCCCATACACATATCTTGTCTATAGACATAGTGAAAAGCCTCCTAATGCTCTGAACACAGAGAGCTCAGGTCAGTGGTTATATAGTGTTGCTGTGGAGTTAAAGGACGACTTGCATCAAAGCCTCCATTTGAGAAAACATTCAGAGCCTGTCCATAGGCAGCATGTTCAGTTCAAACAGAAAACAAGAAAAGAAAATCTTAGTTATGGCTATGTGGATGCATGATACCAAGCCTTAAATGTAGTGAACCTTTCATGTCCAGTACACACCCACTGTGAGCATCGGTCCAGTCCTGCAGGCTGCACAGTTAAAAGTCATTGCAGAGACTCGACAGCAACAAAAAGGGAGTGACACGCCTGGACAGCATCACAGGCAAAGGTGCAGTGGCTTTGATCCTGAAAATGTAAAACTAACCGGAAATCAAAGTTCAACACAGATGTTTAAGAACAGAAACCAAATCAGACTGAGATGCTTTGTGTGAGGAAATGAGTGGAGATGAGTCTGTAATCCCCCATTTCAAGCATCCACCTCCGTGTAGAAGTGGCGAGTGCCAAGAGGGGGTGGGGTGGGGGTGGGGGATGGATTTGTCCGCTCAGTGGAGCCTGCCGCCCTCACAGGCTGATTCAGTGCAAGAGACCTTTTTACGAAAAGGGGACTGGGAGTTAGCTTCTTCCGTGGTTCTGTTCCTCTTCTGCGATCCTTGACAGTCCCCTTACCGACTTCCCTGTGATTCTTTCAATATTACAAAACACATGTTCGTGATTCAGTCTGGGCACGTTCCTTTCACAATCCACGACTTCTGTGTTCTCCGTGTCCTTCATACAAAAACGTCCACCAAATACTGCCGAGTCCCCTCCGTTTTTTAACAAGTTGGCGTGAGCTATGTACAGATAGTGTGATATGTCATGTGTGAGCATGTATGTTAGTGGTTAGTTCACTGAGGCCGAGGTTCCCCGTGGACTCGGAAGCGGTACATGCAGGTGTATTCTGGATGGCCCCAGTTAGACAGCACCCGCACCTCGATGATCTGGAAGGTCTTGTCATTCTGTTCCTGAAACACAAGAGGGGAAAGATTCAGAACATGGCGGCAGACAATAAATTGATTTTTGTTTGTAACTGGTTGGGAAGTGTGTCTTAAGTTACCATAACAGGAAAAGTTTGCAGTGATTCCCCATCATCCTGGTATACGTAATGCCCCAGCAGCTTCCCTTCCTCCTGGTACTCATCATCTAGACCCTGAACACAAACAAACAACAGTGAAAATAGTCATTCATCGCTCATGCTTGGATTGGATTAACAAGTGTGAAGTCTAAGGCTTTATATGTTAGCATGTTTCTTACAAAAACGGTGAAGTTGCGTGGGGCGCTGGTGATGTTTCCAGTTGGGGACAGGGCCTTGGGGATGTGCTCCACGCAGAAGGATGTGGGCAGGATCCTCAGGGACAGCCGGATCACCAGGTAACCCTGAGAGCCTTTGAATGCCCAGCAGTTACCTGGGTACACATCAGGCTGAGGGAGGGAGAAATACCAAAATAAGTTTCATAACGGCAGCAAAGACTTGTTTAAAGAAAAGACTTCAGTGTTTTTATTTTTAAATGACAGCAACAGTTCCACCCTATAGTAATAATAAGCTTAAAGTACTTCATGTTTCTACTATCGCCCAAAATGGACAAACCAAAAACTGGCTATAGATAGGGCTTTCCAACTTAAAATGTATTAACCCATCCTTTAACTAACTTTACATAATCTGTAAAATGGACATTTCTCTCATGGTGAGGCTCACCTGGATGACAACACGTGGGGACTGGGAGAAGTACCACAGAGGCAGGCCGAATAGACTCATGAGGGCCGTCTTGGTCTCATATGTCTCCGAGCAGCGAGTACTGAGGATGCTGCCACCTGAACACGCACAGAGGTTGAGCAGAAACAATAATTATACTGAAAATTAAATCCTTTAAATATTTTTCTGCACTTTAGCCTGTATTGATAGCATTAGAACGTCACAGTGCCCACGTCCTCTGTGAAGGGATGATGTAGGTCAACAGACTGCTCAGTAACACAATGGAGCCTGGGCTTTTGCTGTTAATACCCTGACGTCCTCGAGCCTGGATAATGCCTGCACCCTCATTACATAACAGATGTACATTAAAGCACAGTACTGAATTATGATGCAGCTAGCCTGCTAATCCCTTCCCAACTACTGACTCTGATATTGATACCGATGTGAGGCTCCCATCTTACCTCCGGACTCCAGGGCGTAGTCCACCTGGCCTGTTCGATCCTGGGAGTAGAGCCTCAAAGCATTTTGGACAATCAGCTTCACTTGCTGGGGAAGAGGCCACAACACAAGAGTTAAGATTAAATAAACATGGCAAAACAACACTTTTAAGAGCTCAGCTTAGATTATGTGATTAAGATGGAAATCCACAGTGATGATGATGTTGACTGCAGCAGTGTACGTTCATTACCTCTTCTGTCAGTCCCTCAACAGCAGCAGCGTGCTGGACAGTCCCGGTTACTGTCTGAACGATGGTCTTGGCTTGGGACTCTGCCTCACCCAGGGTTTGGGCCCGATTAAGCTCCAGTTGCAGGGACACGTTTCTCAGGATGTTCATCTCCATTGAGGCTAGTGAGGCCTGCAGGTCAGGTGTGCTAACATAGCGCTGGGACAGCCAGTGGATCAGGGACTCAGGCACCTCTCCCTGCGCCTCTCCTGAGCTGCCACTGCCAAAGAACAGAGCCTGCAACTCCTTACGCACCTGGGAGGACACCTGGGCTGATATCTGGGAAAATAAAACAGAAATATAATGAATCAGAGAAAGTAATGGAAACTGGATGTCAGTCAAATCTTAATGATTTATGAAACTACTCCATGGTAAAGGCACATTGAGTCGATCTTACTGTAAAGCCCAAACATGAGTCACTATTTGTGTTACTTACTGTCTCCTGTAGCGTGTCTAGCTGCTCACATTTGCCCTTGCATCCCGCAACACCCAGCAGATCCTGCCTGACTTTGCCAAGCTCCGCCTCAAGTCTCTGCACTTCCACTAGCAAAGCATCATGGTCCTCCTGCTTCACACCCACACTGAGGGAGAGACAGACATGTGAGCTGCCATAATCTTGAAGAACTTGCTCAGAAAAAAATAAGAAAAATCAGTCAACATGCGGATTTGAAGAAAACA